GAGTGAGTGAGCTGGTGGTTAGTGTGAGTGAGTGAGGAGCTGGTGGTGAGTGTTTATCTTCGGCAGGTGTGTGCTCACCACTGTTGACCCGGACACAGGAGTCAAGGACGGCAAGGAGCCACTTGAGACTCTGCGCAGGTACCAGCTCAGCCGCCTCCCCTGCCTCGAGTGACATTGTATCGTGCTATTCAAAACTTATAAAAACTGTTATACTAATAGGTTTTCCCCATTTTTCTCGCAACAAAACTGACACCTTTTGCAAGGAATCATGCTTACAATAACCACAATACTTGCAGTCAAATGCAAACAAAAAACAACACTCTGATAATTTATGCGTTGTCTTTGAAACTGATTGGTCCACACCAGAGACAGCTTTCTTTAGTCTCATACGGTGTTCGACCAGATGATGCCAAAAGGCGCACAGTTCAAAGACAACGCACTACCAGAGTAATGAGAGCTCGGGGTGAGCAGCTACATCATGGGACCTCCTTTGCCAGTACCAACATATACTAATAGGGTTTTCCCCCTTTTTTTTGCAAAAAGGGGAAAAACCCTATTCGCATATTTTGGTACTGGCAAAGGAGGTCCCATAATTATAAAACTGTTGTTTTAAATATCGACTCAAAGCTTTCGTGACTGCAGGAATTCACATTCTTTGGTTCTTTCGGTAAAGTCGCGTCGATAGCTTCAAAGAAAACACCATCGACGTCACTCGTTCGCGGAGTTATTTTGCGGCTGTAAACGTCCCCGCGATGACGACGACGACGAGGAGCCGTGCCAGTCTTCCCCTAGGTCGGCTCGGCCTCATACGAGCGCCTGCCGCGATGTGTAAACGTTGCCGTTGGTAGGGAGACAAGAGGCGGCCGGGCGCGTGTGGTGTGGCGCTGGCCACTTGCCGCCTCGTGCGCCTTGCCAACGTCGTCGCCACGATGTTGTCGCAACGTCGCAACAACGTCGTGGCAACGACATTACAACAACGTCGCAATGACGTCATGGCAACAACGTCGCAATGACGTCGTCGCAACAACGTCATGGCAACGACATCGTCGCAACGGCGACGTCATCTCGCTACTCTATAGACCCCCCGGTTTGGCGGCCCGGCACGCGTTTCGTGACTTGTTCACAAAATGCGTGGAGACGATTTTTGTTTATTTTCCCCGCGCCAGCCTCGTCACCGGCCATAGGCGCCGAGAGTTCCCGCGGAGGCCGTACCACGTGGGGGGGGGGGGGTCTTTGTCTTTGCAGCTACCGTCTGTGCGAGCCCACGGAGAAGCACGTGTGGGGCACGGCGCCCTTCTTCGGGGTGAACTACACCATCGAGCGCCTGGGCGTGATGCACGTGGGGGACCCGGTGTTCCGTGTGCTCCGCTAGGAGCCGCAGTGCCGCCACAGCACCACGGCACCACAGCACCACAACACCACCACGGCACCACTGCACCACCACCGCACCACCACGGCACCACCACGGCACCACCACCGCACCACCGCACCACCACGGCACCTCCACGGCACCACCACGGCACCACCACGGCACCTCCACGGCACCACCACGGCACCTCCACGGCACCACCACGGCACCACCACGGCACCACCACGGCACCACCACGGCACCTCCACGGCACCTCCACGGCACCACCACGGCACCACCACGGCACCACCACGGCACCACCACGGCACCACCACGGCACCACCCGCTCTCTACAGGCGGCACACGGGAAGATGGCGCACGGGTTAGCCCCACCGTACCCTAGGTCGTTGTCATCGCCGTCGTTGTCATCATCGCCATCATCATCATCGTCATCGTCATCACCATCATCATCGCCATTGCCATCATCATCATCGCCATCATCATCGCCATCATCATCGCCATCATCATCGCCATCATCATCGCCATCATCATCGCCATGATCATCGCCAACATCATCATCATCGCCATCATCATCGCCATCATCATCATCATCGCCATCATCATCGCCGTCGTCGTGATGGTGGCGCTCGAGCCAGGCCTGCGTGCGACTGCGGCGCGGTAGCGGTGCGGGAGCAGACTCCAAGCAAAGCCGTAGGACCCCCAAGCAGCTCAAGGGGCGGAGCGGGGGGGGGGTGATCGTCAAGTGAAGTAATTAATTCGCGAGCGATCGGTGGTGGGGGGAGGGGGGGGTTGCGGAGTATAAAACACCAGCGGGGGATTTGTATCCGGAGAGACGCGGAGGGAGCGGCGCCCCCCCAGGGCATCGCGGCTCGCGTGGCCGGGCGGGGGGGTCCTTTGCCCATACTTCACCACGCCGGTCAACTTGACGGCACGCTGCGCCGAGACGCTGCGCCGAGATGCTGCACCGCGACCACTCAGCCTTCCCCACCTCCGTTTGCCGTGTGACCATATTTAGACGAAATGTAATCGGCAAATTGTAACTCGAATGTAATCGGCATTAATTTTCAATGTTTTTCGTTTAATATGTAATCATCTAACATTAGTGTCGAATACGCAGGATGATCTGTTTATAGATACCTCACTAAAATTATATTAAACGATCTGCAAGTACTCCCTGTATCTGTCCGTCCTTTTTTTTACACATCCCATCAGCCACACAGCCTTCTAAAGATGTTGACTCCCTTGCCTGGTATATGGGAGGTCGTGGGTTCGACCCGACCCTGACGCCTGCTGCTGTATATTTGGAGTTTGCGTGTCTCTCTCATCATCATCACGGTGGCTAGGAGATGTTAACCACCTCGCCTGGTATACAGGGGGTCGTGGGTTCGATCCCGACCCTGACGCCTGCTGCTGTATATTTTGAGTTTGCGTGTCTCTCTCCAAACACTCTCAACGCGTGATGTTGATTCTAAATGTGGAGTGAAAAACAGGAGGACCCAGAGACAAAATTCACGCGACCACGGGGAGAGAGACACGCAAACTCCAAATATACAACAGCAGGCATCAGGGTGAGGATCGAACCCACGACCTCCTGTATACCGGGCGAGGTAGTTAACATCTCATAGCTAACGTAACTCAGGTTCACTGCCTGCGCGCGCGTGTGATGTGGTACAAGAGCACGTGGAGCTGAGTGGACTCGCCGATGAGTGGTACGAGCGGTGCCAAGATCGGCCTCTGTGGAGGAGGCTCGTGAAGGACGCTACTGGGCAGTTGGAGGCAGTCGCCCTCCAGCAACAACGGAGGGCGGAGGAGCGACGCTCACAACGAGCGGAGCGCTGGGTGGCTAAAGCACAGCAAGTTGGCACAGTAGGGGGCACAGGTGGTGCATCAGCCAGTCATCTCGGTCATCTCAGTCAGTCGACCCGTGGCACCTGGGTCTGCCCCGTGACCTGCCAGCGGGCGTTCGACACTTCACGTGGCCTCAACGTGCACCTAGCCTGGCACAAGCGCCGTGGTGAAGTCGCCGCCACTTCGTGGCGAATCGCAGTTGTTCGTAGATTAGCGCTACGGACCTGGCGACCCGAGTTCGATTCCCGCTCATGACCAACACCAGTGACGATTATCTAAACCGTTCGTGGGCCTCCCCTAGGTCGACTAGGCCTCAAATGAGTACCTGGTGCGGTGTGTAAACATCGCCACTGGGGAGACAAAGGCGGCCGGGCGTCGTGCTGGCCACCCACCCCCTCGTGTGCCGTGCCGGCCTTCATAGGTGCTCGCTAACAGCACTTGCCCCTACAGTCTAAGGCTACACGGGGGATCTTTATCTTTGTTGTGCATTTACTCGTTGGACTCAAAACGAGAGTTTGGCTGCCGTGTCGCTCACCGAGTCCTCACCGGAGTCCTCCACCCCTGGGGAGGTGTCGGACTCGACCGGACGCGCACCGTTCCGTCTGACCAACCACCACCACCACACTGTGTTTGAAAACCACCACCAAAACCACCACCGCACTAGTAGTAGGTTTTTACCCTTTAAACTGGTACAAAACTGACACCTTTATACAAGGCATCATGTTTGCAATAACCACAACACAAGTAGTCAAAAATGCAAACAAAAAGAAGCAACTCTGATAATGATGTTTGAGTTGTACGTCTTCTGGCGTCATCTGGTCCAACACCAATGGAGACTCGGCTCTAAGAAAAGCTGTCTCGGGTGTGGACCAATCAACTTCAAGGACAGTGCATATCATTATCATCATCAGAGTTGCTTCTTTTTGTTTGCTTTTTTGACTACTTGTGTTGTGGTTATTGCAAACATGATGCCTTGTATAAAGGTGTCAGTTTTTGTACCAGTTTAAAAGGGTAAAACGTCACTAAAACCCTACTATATTTTGCCACTGGTAAAAGAGGTCTCAGTGTAAACACCACCGCACTGTTCAACCACCACCACCACACGGTGTTTGAAAACCACCACCAGAACCACCACCGCACTGTTCAACCACCACCACCACACTGTTTGAAAACCAACACCACACTGTTCAACCACCGCTACACTGCAGCAGCTCACAAACAGCTAATACGAGTGCGTGCGTGGTGTTGTTGTGTGCGCGTGAGCGGTGGTGCAATGGTTAGCGCTACGCCGCGCTACGAACCCGGCGACCCGAGTTCGATTCCCGCTCACGGCCAACACCGGTGACGATTATCTGAACCGGTCCTGGGCTTCCCCTAGGTCGACTCAGCCTCAAATGAGTACCTGGTGCAGTGTGTGTAAACATCGCCACTCGTAGGGAGACAAAGGCGGCCGGGCGTCGTGCTGATCACCCACCCCCGTCGTGTGCTGTGCCGGCCTTCGTAGGCGCCGCAAACTACTTGCCAGCAGCACTTTGCCCCAAGTCTCTGTTACAGGCTGCACGGGGGGTGCGGTGGTGACGGTGGCGGTGGCGGTGGTGGCGGTGGTGGCAGTGGTGGCTGTGGCGATGGCGGTGGTGGTGGTGGCGGTGGTGGTGGCGCATTTCTGTTTGTATGCTTGTTTGGGTCGTTTGGACAGGCGAGGACTCGCTTGAGCCGTCTAAGATCCTTTTAACAGAAGCGACCTGGCCATCGAATGAAATGTAAAAAAACACAAACCACGTCGTTCTTTACAATGTATTATTTATTGGAATCCATTGCTATTAAACATTTCCCATTATTCCCACCCCAATGTTCACTCGTACCAGGAACGTGAACCCCATTTTTCCGCACCGGTATTATTTCTGCATCCGCCAGCGTCGTGACCCCCCCCACCTCGCGTGTGGAGAGCGCACGCCACTGTAAGGCTCTTGTTCGCAAAGCGACCTGGCCACCACAAATGATGGCTCAAAGAAGTTGGCGGCTTCGTCATCGTCGTCGTCACGTTGGGAACTGACAGCCCAAAGCTCTACAACGCGTGACGTCGGTCGATTCTAAATGCGGAGAGAATAACCGGAGCACAGCACCCGGAGAAAACAAATCCAGGCCACCACGGTGAGAGAGAGAGAGACGCAAACTCAAAATATACAGCAGGAGTCGGGGTCGGGATGGAACCCACGACCACCTGCATACCGGGCGAGGTAGTTAACATCTATCCAGCACGACGGACAAATCCCATGTGTCTGCACGCAACTCCGGTCCGCTGCAGGTTCACCGCGCCACGGCAACGGTGTTTGGTGTCACCGCCGTCGTCTCGGTCGTCGTCACCGCCGCCATCAGTCGTGGGGGTAGAGCTCGCGCAGCCAGGGCCTCGCGACGTACTGCGCGCCGTCGAACGCCCGGAAGTAGACGGCCAGCTCCTCGTGGGTGACCTGACGCCACGCACGGCGGTGCGGGGGGTGTGGGGGGAGTGGGTGGGTAGTGGGGGGGCGTGGGGGGGGAGTGTGGGGAGTTGGGGGTGTGGGGGGTGCGGGGGGTGGGGGGGGGTGCGGGGGGTGGGGGGGGTGTGGGGGGCGTGGGGAGAGACGCCGGAAGCGCCAAACGGCGAATGGGACGCCGGCCCACAATTGGGCCGCCCCCCCCCCCATCATAACGGAAGGAGGCGCCCGCTCGTTGGCCCCGCTGGGTCACGCAGGTGACGTCGTGGTGACGTCATGTGACGTCGTGGTGACGTCGTCGTGGTGGTGACGTCGTGGTGACGTCGTGGTGGTGACGTGATGGTGACGTCGTGGTGGTGACGTCGTGGTGGTGACGTGATGGTGACGTCGTGGTGGTGACGTCGTGGTGGTGACGTGATGGTGACGTCGTGGTGGTGACGTCGTGGTGGTGACGTGATGGTGACGTCGTGGTGGTGACGTCGTGGTGACGTCGTGGTGGTGACGTCGTGGTGGTGACGTGATGGTGACGTCGTGGTGGTGACGTCGTGGTGGTGACGTGATGGTGACGTCGTGGTGGTGACGTCGTGGTGGTGACGTGATGGTGACGTCGTGGTGGTGACGTCGTGGTGGTGACGTCGCGGTGGTGACGTCGTGGTGGTGACGTCGTGGTGGTGACGTCGTCCTGGTGACGTCGTGGTGGTGACGTCGTCCTGGTGACGTCGTGGTGGCGACGTCGTGTTGACGTCGTGGTGGTGACGTCGTCGTGGTGACGTGGTGGTGGTGACGCCGTGGTGGTGACGCCGTGGCGCTCACCTGCACCCCGTTGAGGACGGCGATGTCGTCCTGCGGCACGTAGGTGACGGCGTTCCTCCCCGACACGAGCACGCGGTAGTGGGGGGCCTCGCGGAGACTCGCCTTCTACTCACGCACACACGGGGGGGCGGCACGCGCCACTCACTGCGTGCGTGTGTACATGTGTGTGTGTGTCACCACGTGTGTGTGTCACCACGTGTGTGTGTAACCGTGTGTCTGCGTGTGTATCTGTGTGTATGTGTCACCACGTGTGTGTGTGTGTAACTGTGTATCTGCGTGTGTGGGGAGCGGTGGTGTAGTGGTTAGCGCTACGCTGCGCTACGAACCCGGTGACCCGGGTTCGATTCCCGCTCACGGCCAACACCAGTGACAATTATCTGAACCGGTCCTGGGCCTCCCCAAGGTCGACTCGGCCTCAAATGAGTACCTGGTACGGTGTGTAAACATCGCCACTGGGGAGACAAAGGCGGCCGGGCGTGGTGCTGGCCACCCACCCCCTCGTGTACCGTTCCGGCCTTCATAGGTGCTCACTAACAGCACATGCCCCTACAGTCTGTTAAGGCTATACGGGGGATCTTTGTCTATGTATCTGCGTGTGTGTGTAAACCACGTGTGTGTGTGTAACTGTGTATCTGCGTGGGGAGCGGTAGTGTAGCGGTTAGCGTGCTGCGCTACGAACCCAGCCGCCAGAGTTAAATTCCCGCTCACGACCAAAACCAGTGACGATTATCTGAACCGGTCCTGGACCTCTCCTAGGTCGACTCAGCCTGAAATGCGTACCTGGTGCGGTGTGTAAAATCATCGCCCCTGGGGAGACAAAGGCGGTCGGGCGTGGTGCGGGCCACCCACCCACCCTCTCGTGTGCCGTTCCGGCCTTCACAGGTGCTCGCTAACAGCACTTGCCCCAACAGTCTGTTCAGGCTATGCGGGGGATCTTTTGTATCTGTGTGTGTGTATCTGTGTGTGTGTATCTGTGTGTGTATGCGTATCTACGTGTGTGTATGTGTGTGTGTATGTATGTGTGTGTATGTGTGTGTATGTGTGTGTATGTATGCGTGTATGTATGTGTGTATGTATGTGTGTATGTATGTGTGTATCCGTGTGTGTGTATCCGTGTGTGTGTATCCGTGTGTGTATGCGTATCTCGGTGTGTGTGTGTGTATCTGTGTGTGTGTATCCGTGTGTGTATCTGTGTGTGTGTGTATCTGTGTGTACGTGTGTGTGTATGTGTATGTATGTGTGTGTGTATGTGTGTGTATCTGTGTGTGTATCTGTGTGTGTATCTGTGTGTATCTGTGTATATGTATATGTTTGTATATATGTGTGTGTGTGTGCGTGACTGACCCCACGGTGTGAGCGCTGCATCCAGCCGTGGGGTGCGTGTGTGTGTGTGTATGTGTGTGTGTGTATGTGTGTATGTGTGTGTGTGTATGTGTGTGTGTGTATGTGTGTGTATGTATGTGTGTGTATGTGTGTATGTATGTGTGTGTATGTGTGTGTATGTATGTGTGTGTATGTGAGTGTGTGTATGTATGTGTATGTATGTGTGTGTATGTATGTGTGTGTATGTATGTGTGTGTATGTGTGTATGTATAAGTCCGGCAAAACAACCTCCTACCTCTATGGGGACCTCATTTGCCAGTAAAAATATGATAATTGGTTCTTTACCCTTCTATCTGGCAACAAAACTGACACCTTTTTGCAAGGAGTCATGTTTGCATAGACCGCAATACCTGCAGTCATAAATACAAACAAAAGACATAACTCTGATAATGTGCACTGTCAAGGACTGTCAAGGACAGTGCACATTATCAGAGTTATGTCTTTTGTTTGTATTTATGACTGCAGGTATTGCGGTCTATGCAAACATGACTCCTTGCAAAAAGGTGTCAGTTTTGTTGCCAGATAGAAGGGTAAAGAACCAATTATCAACCTCCTACCTCCTCGCGGTGCCGGACGGGCAACACTGTCGTGGGCAGTGCTGTGGGGGGAGGGCCAATGCCCATTGGCCTCTCCCCTCATGGCGTCTATGACCACCACAGTGGCTAAACGGGGGCTCTGGACGGGTGTGAGGGGCTGGTAACCCCTCCACCTTCAATTAACCACCACTAAACCACGAATTAAACATAAACCTGTAACAAATAAGCTTGTGCCGGAGGCCCCGGGGGGTCAGGCTTTTATGATGTCTCCTGGCCAAACCCCATTTGGCGGAGCCAGGAGATTGAATCTTCACCCTCGGGGCTCCTCCAGAAACAACAAAAAACCATTGCGGATGGCCACGTGGAATGTTCGAACGCTCACTGCGGAGGAGAGGCTGCCACTCCTCTGTCGGGAGATGGACCGGTACCGCCTGGATCTCTGTGGCATTCAGGAGGTCCGGTGGACCGGTTCTGGCTCCTGCCACCATGAGGGGTGGACAGTCCTCTACTCGGGGCAGGAGACTGCCAAACAACAGGGTGTGGCTCTTCTTCTGAACAAAAGAATGAAGGGGGCGTGGGAGCGTGGCGGTGAGGTGTGGGAAGCTGTAAGCCCCAGGATACTTTGGGCTCGCCTTCCCATCAACCAGAGGCGAGGAGTGGTGGTCGTGGTTACTTATGCCCCCACCGAAGACGAACATCCGTGGAGGGATGCAGGCAAAGCCGATGAGTCAGACTCTTTCTATGACCTCCTGTCACAGGTGCTGGCTAAAGTGGCCACTCGGGACAGAGTCATCTTGTTGGGTGACTTCAATGCCCGAGTTGGTCATGATGCTGGTACCTGGTCTGGAGTGATTGGAAGGCATGGGCCAGATCAGCTCAATAATAACGGTAGGAGGCTGCTAGATTTTTGTGCAGCCCATGGGCTTGTAATTACCAACATGCTCTTCCGGCATCGGCGCATCCACACAACATCATGGATACATGCCGGGTCCAAGCAAGAACATCTGCTGGACTACATAGTGACGGACCAGCGGATGCGAACCCATGTCCTTGACACCAGGACCTACCGTGGAGCTGATCTGTCCTCTGACCATCGACTAGTCATCTGTAAGATGCGCCTGCCTTTCTTCCACTCCGGTGGTGGGTGTACACCCAGGATCCCATTCCAACCAAAAGTGGCCTGGTCTCAGTTAGCTGATGAAAGTTGCAAGCGAGAATTTCATCATCGCTTGCAGCTGGGGTTGGCATCGTCCCCCACTCCACCTGATGTCGAGGGTAAATGGGCGAGGTTTAAGACTGTGACTCATGCAGCTGCAATGGCTGCTTTGGGTACGCGGTCCAGACCTCCCCAGAAACCCTGGCTGACAGAGGAGGTGTTCAGGTTAATTGAGAAAAAGCGTCAGGCCCACTCTCATCGCCTACAGCATCCCACGGCAGAGAATGAGGAGGTTTACCGCAGCCTTCGCTCAGAAGTTCGGAGAGCCGTAAGGCGCTGTAAGGATGGGTGGTGGTCGCGGGTTGCTGAGGAGATGGAGTCTGCCTCAGTGGCCCGTGATCACAAATCACTATTTAACTCCATCAAAAAAGTAACCTGCAGCGCCACACCTATTACCATCATTAGAGGAAAAAACGGTGATCCAATCTCCGACCCCGAGGAACAGGTTTGCAGATTTGCTGAGCATTTCTGTGAGGTCCTGGGGGAGGGAAATTCTCTCAGCCAGGAAAACATCATGGCACAAAGTGGTGATAACCCTGCTGAGGCTGCGGTGCCTCAAATATTGGAAGAGGTCACCCCCTGTGAGTGGCTGGCTGAGGTGCCAGCTGTTGAGGAAGTACTGAGGGCGATCCGGAGTCTGAGACCAGGGAAGGCATCGGGCAGAGATGATCTCCCAAGCGAAATGCTGAGGGAGGGTGGCGTTTGTGCACAGACTGCCCTATATGACATCATAACAACAGTCTGGACCACTGGACGGGTTCCGCAGGACTGGAAGGATGCCCTGGTGGTCCCCCTCTTTAAGAAGGGGGACCGTACCGACTGTAACAACTACAGGGGCATCTCACTCCTCAGTGTGCCGGGTAAGGTCCTGGCAAGGATTATTCAACATCGCCTTGCTAGGCACGCTGAGGAGAGGCTTGCGGAGCCCCAATGCGGTTTCAGGAAAGGGCGGTCCTGCACAGATGCCATATTTTCTGTCCGTCTGCTACAGCAGAGGTGTAGGGAATTCCAAAAAGACCTACATCTCTGCTTTATTGACCTGGTCAAGGCCTATGATACCATCAGTAGGACTGGGCTCTGGGTTGTTCTTCGTGCTTTCGGAGTCCCTGACCCTCTGCTCACGATCATTAAGGACCTTCATGATGGTGAGCGGGCCCGGGTAAAACTACGTGGCCAGGAGTCGGAGCCTTTCCCTGTACACCTTGGGGTGCGACAGGGATGTCCTCTGGCTCCCACATTATTTAACATCTATTTTGACCGCGTAGCTCGTGAAGCCTTCAATAGCTGTACCGGGGGAATTTCCATTTGGTACAGATATAATGGGAGGCTGATCGACGCCCGGGTGCGATCAAGGGATGGCTCCCTATTGGTCAACCATGTTATGTATGCCGATGATTTGGTAATAGCTGCTCTTTCAGAAGAGGAGTTGAAGACGCTGCTGCTGAGACTGGAGCGTGCCACTAAGAGGTGGGGCCTTACCATCAGCCCCACCAAAACTAAGCACCTGCCTGGGTATTTTGTACCATCGGACACTCCACCCCCACAACTCCCAATTGGTGATGGGGCAGTTGTGGAGAGAGTGGAGAGTTTCCCATACCTGGGCAGTGTGCTTATGACCGGCTCCAGTCTATCAGCAGAGGTCTCACTCCGAATCAGTCGAGCGGCAATATCTTTTCATCGGTTGCGTAACGCTGTGTGGAAGCTACCTGGTCTGTCGCTCCGCACGAAGCTTCAGGTCTTCTCGGCCACGGTCATTCCCTCCCTTCTCTACGCTTGCGAGACGTGGACCCCCCTGGTGGAGCATCTTCGCCGGTTGGAAACATTTAGGCTGGCCTGCCTACGATCCATCCTGGGTTTAACCAGGCTGGATTGTGTGAGGAGCTCACAAATCCTTGAAAGATCTGGGCAAAGTCCCATCAGTGAGCTCCTCCGGCAGGCAAGGCTGCGTTGGCTGGGTCATGTAGCCCGCATGCCCAGCCACCGCATGCCTAAACAGCTTTTGTTCGGCCGGATCGAGGGGGCTAGACGGGCGCGGCACGGGCTGGAGAAGAGATGGAGTGATGTGGTACAGGAGGACGTGGAGCTGAGTGGACTTGCCGATGACTTGTACCAGCGGTGTCAAGATCGGCCTCAGTGGAGGAGGCTCGTGAAGGACGCTACTGGGCAGTTGGAGGCAGTCGCCCTCCAACAACAACGGAGGGCGGAGGAGCGACGCTCACAACAACGAGCGGAGCGCCGGGTGGTTAAAGCACAGCAAGTTGGCACAGTAGGGGGCACAGGTGGTGCATCAGCCAGTCATCTCGGTCATCTCGGTCAGTCGACCCGTGGCACCTGGGTCTGCCCCGTGACCTCCTGCCAGCGGGCTTTCGACACTTCACGTGGCCTCAAGGTGCACTTGGCCTGGCACAAGCATCGTGGTGACGTCACCGCCACTTAGTGGCGAATGGCGGTTGTTGTTGTTGTTGTTGTGAGTGTGTCTGTGTGTGTATGTGTGTGAGTGTGTGTATGTGTGTGAGTGTGTGTATGTGTGCGTGTGCGTGACTGACCCCGCGGTGTGAGCGCTGCATCCAGTCGTGGGGTGCGTGTGTGCGCGCGTCCCAGCCAATGATGACGCCGGTGAAGCCGGCGTGCCGGTGCCGGACCACCTGGCCCACGCGGAACGAGACGCGGGGGGGGCGCGGGGAGCGCACCGACACCGAGGCTGGGGGGCACGGAGGGTCACGCACACACACGCACACACACGCACGCACGCGGAGACACGCGGAGACACATGGAGATGCACTCAGCGTCACGCACACGCACGCGGAGACATGCAAAGACATGCGGAGAAGCGTGGAGATGAGAAACGGAAGGGGACACGTGTGTGTGTGCGCGTGTGTTCGTTCGTGGGGAGCGGTGGTGTAGCGGTTAGCGCTACGCTGTGCTACGAACCCGGCGACCCGAGTTCGATTTCCGCTCACGGCCAACACCCAGTGACGATTATCTGAACCGGTCCTGGGCCTCCCCTAGGTCGACTCGGCCTCAAATGAGTACCCGGTGCGGTGTGTAAACATCGCCACAGGGGAGACAAAGGCGGTCGGGCGTGGTGCTGGCCACCCACCCTCTCGTACATCATTCCGGCCTTCATAGCTGCTACTCGCTAACAGCACTTGCCCCTACAGTCTGTTAAGGCTACACGGGGGTTCATTGCTTTGTATGCAGGTGTGTGCGCGCGCGAGTGCGTGCACACTCATAGGCACGTGTGTGTGCGTGCGTACACGTGCGTATGCGTATGTGTGCACACGTGTGTGCATGCGTGCATAAACGTGTGCGTGTGTGCGTGCGTGTGCGCATGCGTTTTACTGGCAAAGTGTCCGTCTATCTCCTCCAGCCGAAGAACTTCCAAGGCAGCGCACTCCCCCATCGCATCCTCCTCTTCCTCCTCACCCAGCGCCGTGCTGCCACCACCATCACCACCATCAACACCACCATCATCACCACCGTCAACACCACCGGCACCACCATCATCACCACCATCATCACCACCATCACCACCACCATCACCACCACCATCAACACCACCATCACCACCACCATCACCACCACCATCACCACCACCACCATCACCACCACCACCATCACCACCATCAACACCACCATCAACACCACCATCAACACCACCATCATCACCACCATCAACACCACCATCATCACCACCATCAACACCACCATCATCACCACCATCATCACCACCATAATCACCACCATCATCACCACCGTCATCACCACCGTCAACACCACCATCATCACCACCATCATCACCACCATAATCACCACCATCATCACCACCATCATCACCACCATCATCACCACCGTCAACACCACCATCACCACCACCGTCAACACCACCATCATCACCACCATCATCACCACCATCATCACCACCATCATCACCACCGTCAACACCACCATCATCACCACCATCATCACCACCATCATCACCACCATCATCACCACCGTCAACACCACCGGCACCACCGGCGCCATCACAATCGTCGGCGTCATCAACACTGGGGCTGTGTGTGTGCGCGTGGCGGTGGGGGGGGTGGCGGCTCTCACCGCGCGTGCCGCACCAAGCCGCGTGCCCACGACAGCCACGGCACCGGTCTCAGCAGTCGCTGCTGCAGCCCCCCCAACTCCTCCGTGAGCCTGGCGAGGCGACAACGCAAAGACCCTCACCACCGCCGCCGCGTGAGAATTCTCTTGGGGTGGTCGAGCGCCCGCCGAGGCCGGCACGACGGCGCACCGAGGGCGAGCGGCCGGCACCACGGCCGGCGCCGTGCTGCTGCACCACCGCCACCGATGCCGCTCACGTTTTACACACCGCAACGGGTACGGCGTGCGAGTGGACTACCTTGCGAGTGGGCTACCGTGCGTTTAGCGAGTTGGCACCGTTTATCAATTCCGACCGAAGTTGCCCGTCACTGCTACGCGCCACGCCGGAGGACACGGAGGATTTGGCGAAAGCGTCAAGAGCCCCGCCTGGTACGCAGGAGGTCGTGGGTTCCATCCCGACCCTGACGCCTGCTTTGTGTATGTGAAGTTTGCGTGTCTCTCTCTCTCTCATCATCATCATCACGGTGGCTAGATGTTAACTACCTCGCCTGGTATACAGGAGGTCGTGGGTTCGATCACGACCCTGACGCCTGCTGCTGTATATTTGGAGTTTGCGTGTCTCTCTCTCATCATCATCACGGTGGCTAGGAGATGTTAACTACCTCGCCTGGTACACAGGAGGTCGTGGGTACCATCCCGACCCTGACACCTGCTTTGTGTACGGGGAGTTTGCGTGTCTCTCTCCCCGGGTCCTCCGATTTTTTCCCCTTCACATTTTAGAATCAACGTTTGTATTATTTGACTGTTCCTAAAAATGTCCACGCGACGATGGTGATGACGATGAGCCCACTTTGTTGAGCAATCGTTTGTGATCACCAGGTCACTTCTGAAAAAAGAGCCACACAGCTAAGTAGGGCCTTACAGCCGGTGAAATAAAAAGTACAGACAGTCCTCGACTTACGACTCTCACTACATCACCATATACAGCCAGTCCCCGACTTACGACTCTCACTACGCCATGTAGGTAGTCCTCGACTTACGACTCTCACTACATCATACACATGTAGTCCCCGACTTACGACTCTCACAACACCACCATACAGCTAGTCCCCGACTTACGACTCTCACTACACCGCCATGTACAGCTAGTCCCCGACTTACGACTCTCACTACACCGCCATGTACAGCTAGTCCCCGACTTACGACTCTCACTACACCAACATGTACAGCTAGTCCCCGACTTACGACTATCACTACACCGCCATGTACAGGTAGTCCTTGACTTACGACTCCCACTACACCACCATGTACAGGTAGTCCTTGACTTACGACTCTCACTACACCGTGTACAGATAGTCCTCGACTTACGACTCTCAGTACACCACCATGTACAGCTAGTCCCCGACTTACGACTAACACTACACCGCCATGTACAGGTAGTCCTCGACTTACGACTCCCACTACACCACCATGTACAGGTAGTCCTCGACTTACGACTCTCACTACACCGTGTACAGATAGTCCTCGACTTACGACTCTCAGTACACCACCATGTACAGCTAGTCCCCGACTTACGACTAACACTACACCGCCATGTACAGGTAGTCCTCGACTTACGACTCCCACTACACCACCATGTACAGGTAGTCCTCGACTTACGACTCTCACTACACCGTGTACAGATAGTCCTCGACTTACGACTCTCACTACACCAACATGTACAGCTAGTCCCCGACTTACGACTAACACTACACTGCCATGTACAGGTAGTCCTCGACTTACGACTCCCACTACACCACCATGTACAGGTAGTCCTCGACTTACGACTCTCACTACACCGTGTACAGATAGTCCTCGACTTACGACTCTCAGTACACCAACATGTACATGTAGTCCTCGACTTACGACCCTCACTACACAACCATGTACAGATAGTCCTCGACTTACGACTCTCACTACACCCCCATGTACAGATAGTCCCCGACTTACGACTCTCACTACACCATGTAGGTAGTCCCCGACTTACGACTCTCACTACACCATGTAGATAGTCCCCGACTTACGACTCTCACTACACCATGTAGGTAGTCCCCGACTTACGACTCTCACTACACCATGTAGGTAGTCCTCGACTTACGATGGAGATGCGTTACGACGACCCCATCGTAAGTCAAAAATATCGTAAGTCGAAGATGGCCTCGCCTACCCAGGAGCCTTAAAGAATGGTGATAATTTAGCAAAACAGAGCAATTAACAGTACCGTACTGTATAAACTATATACTGTGTGTATTTATTAATTACAATACTGTATTGCACAGTCAAATGTCAAGTAAAAAAAAAACAAGGTAAATTCTTAGCCTACCTCTATGAACTGCGATTTAATAGAAAGACGGCAGATGCGTAACATCCCGGCAGCGTCCCAACGTACAGCATCGCACCTCGTACGCTGCTGCGTTTGCCTGCCGCGCGAAATTTAAATATATTACAAATTCCTCGTATCGCTGTCGCCATCGTAAGATCGAAATGTCGTAAGTCGGACCCCATCGTAACTCGGGGACTGTCTTTAGTTTGAGTTGAGTGGTGCCCGTGTGTTTCGGGGCAGGGGGGTCGTGGGTCGCGCGTACTGCGTGCGGCATGCGTGTTACATGCGTTCGTGTTGCGTGCGTGTTGCGTGCATGGTGCGTGCGACATGCGTGGCGAGTGCTGTGTGCATGGTGCATGCGTGGTGAGTGGTGCGTGGTGAATGGCGAGTGCTGTGTGCATGGTGAGTGTGTGGTGAGTGGTGCGTGGTGAATGGTGAGTGCTGTGTGCATGGTGAGTGCTGTGTGCATGGTGAGTGCTGTGTGCATGGTGCATGCGTGGTGAGTGCTGTGTGCATGGTGAGTGCTGTGTACATGGTGCATGCGTGGTGAGTGGTGCGTGGTGAATGGCGAGTGCTGTGTGCATGGTGCATGCGTGGTGAGTGGTACGTGGTGAGTGCTGTGTGCATGGTGAGTGCTGTGTGCATGGTGAGTGCTGTGTGCATGGTGAGTGCTGTGTGCATGGTGCATGCGTGGTGAGTGCTGTGTGCATGGTGAGTGCTGTGTACATGGTGCATGCGTGGTGAGTGGTGCGTGGTGAATGGCGAGTGCTGTGTGCATGGTGAGTGTGTGGTGAGTGGTGCGTGGTGAGTGGTGCGTGGTGCATGGTGAGTGCTGTGTGCATGGTGCATGCGTGGTGAGTGGTGCGTGGTGAGTGCTGTGTACATGGTGAGTGCTGTGTGCATGGTGAATGCTGTGTGCATGGTGCATGCGTGGTGAGTGGTGCGTGGTGAGTGCTGTGTGCATGGTGAGTGCTGTGTGCATGGTGCATGCGTGGTGAGTGGTGCGTGTTGCGTGGTGCATGGTGCGTTACCAGCGCATGGCGTGCAGCCTCTGGAAGGCGTTGTTGCCGCTCCACTGCACGATGAGCGTCTGCAGCGGCACGGCCGCCACCAGCAGCAGCAGCTGCAGCCCGGCCCACGCGGCACGGCGCGGCATCGCGAACAACCACGGTTCCCGCCGGGACGCAAGACCTCACCGGTGGTGATGGAGCTCCTCGCTCGCTCGCTCAGTCGTTTGTTCGCTCGCACACTCACACACTCGCTCGATTGCTCACTCGCTCACTTGCTCACTCTCATACACACTCGCTCGTTCGCTCAGTCGACAACTCATTCATTCGCATGCTCTCTCACGCACTCTCTCGATTTGCTCGCTCGTGAACTCCCACTTGGTCGCTCACTCACCTGCTCACGCACTCGCTAACTTCCTCAGTCGCTCGCTCGCCCGACCCATTCACCCGCTCACAAAATGTTCACAAATCGACTCGCCCGCTCGCCCGCACGGCAACTCGCTCGCACTCGCCAGCCGCGGTCGAGGTTTAACGGGGGGCAGGAGACGTCTTGAAAGTTTCTTTGGGGGCGCGAGCGTGGGGGCGGCAAGGCCTGTTGACAGCCGTGGACAGCCGTGGACAGCCGTGGACAGCTGTGGCAGCTTCCTTGGCTTGTGGCGAGCTGCGATGTTAACGCGCGTAGAGTTGAACCTCTGTCTTTCGCGCCGTACGGAGCCAACTGCGGCTCAACGGAAGGTGTGCCGCGTTGGTCGCTAAGCCGTGGGCTGGGTTCTGGTGAGATCTCCGGCTCCGCGTGATGCGTCAGCTGAGTTCTGGTGAGATCTCCGTCTTCACGTGGTCTCCTTAGCCGGGTGCCGGTGACATCTCCGGCTCCGCGTGGTGCGATCGGCTGGGTTTTGGTGAGATCTCCGGCTCCGTGTGGTGGCGTTCCAGGCGACGCTGTGGCACAGCACGAGGCTCCTCAACGTCACGTTCCTGTCTGCCGCGGCAACGGAAATCCGTCAACGGCGGAGCGACAATCGCAGGAAGGACGGCGCAGCAAGGCAGCGGCAGCAGCGACAGCAGCAGCAGCAGCGGTAGCAGTGGCAGCGGTAGCAGCGGCAGCAGCAGCGGCAGCAGCAGCAGCGGCAGCAGTAGCAGCGGTAGCAGCAGCAGCAGCGACAGCAGCAGCAGCAGCGGTAGCAGCAGCAGCAGCGACAGCAGCAGCAGCAGCAGCGGTAGCAGCAGCAGCAGGAGCAGCGGCAGCAGCAGCAGCGGTAGCAGCAGCAGCAGCGACAGCAGCGGCAGCAGCGACAGCAGCGGCAGCAGCGGCAGCAGCGGCAGCAGCGGCAGCAGGAGCAGCAGCGGCAGCAGCGGCAGCAGCGGTAGCAGCGGCGGCAGCAGCGGCAGCAGCAGCAGCGGCAGCAGCAGCAGCGGTAGCAGCAGCAGCAGCGACAGCAGCAGCAGCAGCAGGAGCAGCAGCAGCAGCAGCAGCGGTAGCAGCAGCAGCAGGAGCAGCGGCAGCAGCAGCAGCAGCAGCAGGAGCAGCAGCAGCAGCGGTAGCAGCAGCAGCAGGAGCAGCGGCAGCAGCAGCAGCAGCAGCAGGAGCAGCAGCAGCAGCGGTAGCAGCAGCAGCAGGAGCAGCAGCAGCAGCAGCAGCAGCAGGAGCAGCGGCAGCAGCAGCAGCGGTAGCAGCAGCAGCAGCGGCAGCAGCGGCAGCAACGGCAGCAGCAGCAGCAGGAGCAGCAGCAGCAGCAGCGGTAGCAGCGGTAGCAGCAGCAGCAGCGACAGCAGCAGGAGCAGCAGCGGCAGCAGCGGTAGCAGCGGTAGCAGCGGCAGCAGCAGCAGCAGCGACAGCAGCAGGAGCAGCAGCAGCAACAGCGGTAGCAGCGGCAGCAGCAGCAGCAGCGACACGGTTCGGGTTCTTTCCCAAGAGTCGCTAACGAGAGGGTGCTTTGCCTACGCGGGTGGCTCTTCTTATTCTTCTTAACCTGTGGTGCACGCAAGCCCCTGGCGGTTGCGAGACATGGACAGATTGTTTTTAGTAGTGTAGTGTATAGTAGTGTCTAGTGTATAGTGTAGTGTATAGTGTAGTGTATGTGTAGTGCATAGTGTAGTGTATAGCGTAGTGTATAGTAGTGTCTAGTGTATAGTAGTGTAGTGTATAGTAGTGTCTAGTGTATAGTAGTGTAGTGTATAGTAGTGTCTAGTGTATAGTAGTGTAGTGTATAGAGTAGTGTATAGTAGTGTGGTGCAGTGTGTAGTATGGAGTATATAAATCTTGACTTAAAGCTTTCGTGACTGCAGGAATTCATATTCTTTGGGTCTTTCGGTGAAGTCACGTAGATAGGTTCGAATTAATACAAATAAAATAAACAAAAAACGACGATCGCAGAAATTAGCATGTTAATGTGAGAAATTAGCATGTTAATGTGAGAAATTAGCATGTTAATGTGAGAAATTTGCATGATAATGTGAGAAATTAGCATGCTAATGTGAGAAATTAGCATGATGTGAGAAATTAGCGTGTTAATGTGGGAAAATAGCATGCTAATGTGAGAAATTAGCATGTTAATGTGATACATTAGCATGATGTTAATGTGAGAAATGAGTATGATGTTAATGAGAGAAATTAGCATGTTGTTAATGTGAGAAATTTGCATGATGTTAATGTGAGACATTAGCATGATGTTAAATGTGAGAAAATAGCATGTTAATGTGAGAAATTATCATGATGTTAATGTGAGAAATTATCATGATGTTAATGTGAGAAATTAGCATGATGTTAATGTGAGAAATTAGCACGATGTTAATGTGAGAAATTAGCATGATGTTAATGTGAGAAATTAGCATGATGTTAATGTGAGAAATTAGCGTGACGTTAATGTGAGAAATTAGCATGATGTTAATGTGAGAAATTAGCATGACGTTAATGTGAGAAATTAGCGTGACGTTAATGTGAGAAATTAGCATGATGTTAATGTGAGAAATTATCATGATGTTAATGTGAGAAATTAGCATGATGTTAATGTGAGAAATTAGCGTGACGTTAATGTGAGAAATTACATGATGTTAATGTGAGAAATTAGTATGTTAATGTGAGAAATTATCATGACGTTAATGTGAGAAATTACATGATGTTAATGTAAGAAATTAGCATGTTAATGTGAGAAATTAGCATGATGTTAATGTGAGAAATTAGCATGTTAATGTGAGAAGTTAGCATGTTAATGTGAGAAATTAGCATGATGTTAATGTGAGAAATTAGCATGTTGTTAATGTGAGAAATTAGCATGTTAACGTAAGATCTGAGAGCCGCCGCCACGTCAAGGTCGGTGCCAGGTCAACACGTTACAAAGTTAGACGTTGACAAGGTTGTTATTAATCTGAGTAACAGTCCAATTTCCGACCGCCTGAAATCGATTTTGGCTCAAGGGTTGAACTTTGCAGTTACCCCTAAACACGGTGGCTGATATAATTGTCCATGCTGATGTAGCCCTGAAGGGTTTGGTACACATCGCTGCAGACGTAGCAAAATCGTAAATTGCTGCAATCGTCAAAAACACCGAGACACCAATGAGCAACATCAGTAAGGATGAACGTCTTCTTGATTCTTTCGGTAAAGTCACGTAGAAGGGAAATCATAAAATAATAAAAATAAAACATAATAAAATACAATTCTCACGACGTTTCGGCCACAACGCAAGCAGCCGTCCTCAGGTGAAGAACAAACAGGTCTGTCGGAAAGACAGCGTCTGAATGAACACCACCAAGCTTGGCAGCGTATATTTAAAGAACCAAGAAGATTAATCCCTGCAATCACGAAAGCTTTAAATGGAACCTACGTTGTTATTAACATTATACATTAATATTATACATTAACATTATACATTAACATTATACATTTCCATTATACATTAACGGTTGACAGCCAAATGGGGGAGCAAGGTTGCAGTAAAGGTTTAAGCACCGCTGAGCTAAGCAGTGCCCTTTACTGGAATAAAGTCGCAACACAATAAGCAAATCAGATGTCGGCACCGCATCAGCGCAGCGTTGTTCTGTTCTCATGTTAAAATAATTCACGACGACGCCTGAACCAAGGCGCTTTTTAGATCCGTTATATTAAGTTCGCTTGCTTGCTTGCTCACGACCGTGCAAATCTTTCGGTCGTTTTTTAACCCACTTCCCGTGATCCAATCGAGCTGACATTTTCCACACAGACTCGTTGTGCGTGACAATTAATTTTCGTGAAAATTTTTTTCCAAAGTTTTACACCGTTTAGGGAAAAAAATTTCAATATTTAATTACCAATTGCTTAATGCTGGCAGGCAATCATCTGACCCATAGGTGGCAGCCATCTCAAGCCAGAGGACGAGAGGACTCTAGCCGCCACGCATATAAAGGATTTAGAGTGAAAAACTTAGTTTTTACGGGTTAATTTTTTAGACAGAACGAACGTCGCTTCTACATGCGAATGTGACGGCGGTGGTGGAGTGGAGGCGAATGAAAGAAACGAGAGGAAGCAAATATGTGATGATTCGTCACATCGGTTAAAGTGACACTGATGACAGCGAATGACGATGCATCGAATGAATGGGGGCGAATGAGTGAACGCCATGCAATGATAATCATCATTAATATAATTAGTATAATGATCATTATGCTTGTTGTAATATAATAATTATAATTTTGTCTCTACGTATGTCTCTGTGGTGTCTGTGTATATGTGCATCTGTGGTGTCTCTGTGTATCTGTGGTGTGTCTATGTCTCTGTGGTGTCTCTGTGGTGTCTTTATGTCTGTGTCTATGTGCATCTGTGGTGTCTCTGTGTATCTGTGAGGTGTCTGTCTCTGTGGTGTCTCTGTGGTGTCTTTATGTCTGTGTCTATGTGCTTCTGTGGTGTCTCTGTGCATCTGTGGTGTGTCTATGTCTCTGTGGTGTCTCTGTGGTGTCTTTATGTCTGTGTCTATGTGCTTCTGTGGTGTCTCTGTGTATCTGTGGTGTGTCTATGTCTCTGTGGTGTCTCTGTGGTGTCTTTATGTCTGTGTCTATGTGCTTCTGTGGTGTCTCTGTGTATCTGTGGTGTGTCTATGTCTCTGTGGTGTCTCTGTGGTGTCTTTATGTCTGTGTATATGTGCTTCTATGATGTCGCTGTGGCAAGGCCGTAATTATATATATTGGGGGGGGACACATGCCCCCCCCCCCCCCACAATATTTTGCTATAAAAATGTATTGCTGTGCTATGTAAATAAAAAGAACAATTTGTGCTAAACCTTGGCCACAATATCTGGACTTTTCTTCATACAAATCAATGCATAGATTTCTGTTAATATGATTGTGGTTATGGTTGTACTTTATGAATCCCTAATCTCTGCCATTACATACAATGAAACAAGAAATGGTAAAAAAATAAATAAAAACAGAGCAATGTAATACAATACACTCTTAGACATTATTGTAAATAACAAAAGTCCATCCCATGCGTTAGTGAATGTTTAAATATTTTAGGCAGGAGATGAGTTTTCAAATGTAGATATTTTTCTGGGTTGGGACCCCCAGGCCCCTGGAAGATTTGGTCCCCCCCTCCATATGTTGACTTCATGGCTACAACCTTGCCCTGTGGTGTCCCGATGTGTGTGTCTATGTGCGTCCGTGATGTCTCTGTGGTATCTCCCTGTTGTATATGTGGTGTCTCTGTGTCTCTGTCTATGGTGTCCATGTGGTCTCTCCATCTTTGTGGTGTATCTATGTCTCTGTGTCTCTGTGGTGTCTCTATGTCTATGTCTCTGTGGTGTATCTATGTCTATGTGTCTATATGTCTGTCTCTGTGTCGATGTGTCTCTGTGGTGTCTCTGTATCTCTGTGTCTATGTGGTGTTCCTGTGTCTGTGTCTCTGTGGTGTCTCTGTGTCTCTGTGGTGTCTCTATGTCTCTGTGGTGTATATATGTCTATGTGTCTATATGTCTGTCTCTGTGTCGATGTGTCTCTGTGGTGTATATATGTATATGTGTCTATATGTCTGTCTCTGTGTCGATGTGTCTCTGTGGTGTCTCTGTGTCTCTGTGGTGTCTCTATGTCTCTGTGGTGTATATATGTCTATGTGTCTATATGTCTGTCTCTGTGTCGATGTGTCTCTGTGGTGTATATATGTCTATGTGTCTATATGTCTGTCTCTGTGTCGATGTGTCTCTGTGGTGTCTCTGTGTCTATGTGGTGTTCCTGTGTATGTGTCTCTGTGGTGTCTGTGTCTCTGTGTCTGTGTCTCTGTGGTGTTTCCATGTCCATGTCTCTGTGGTGTCTCTATGTCTCTGTGGTGTATATATGTCTATGTGTCTATATGTCTGTCTCTGTGTCTCTGTGTCTCTGTGGTGTCTGTGTCTCTGTGGTGTCTCCATGTCCATGTCTCTGTGGTGTCTCTGTGTCTCTGTGGTGTATATATGTCTATGTGTCTATATGTCTGTCTCTGTGTCTCTGTGTCTCTGTGGTGTCGCTGTGTTTCCGTGGTGTCTCCATGTCCATGTCTCTGTGGTGTCTCTGTGGTGTCTATGTGTCTCTGTGTGTGTCTGTGTCTCTGTGATGTCTCTCTGTGTCTGTGGTGTCTCTGTGTCTGTGGTGTCTCTGTGTGTCTGTGGTGTCTCTCAGTGTGTATCTCTGTGTGTCTCTCTGTGTCTGTATCTCTGCGTGCTGTCCCCGTGTATCTGTGTCTCTCTGTCTCTGTGTGTCTCTGTGTCTCTCTGTGTCTGTGTCTCTGTCTGTGTCTCTGTGGTATCTCTGTGGTGTGTCTGTGTCTGCGTGTCTCTGTGGTGTCTCTATGGTGTCTCTGTGGTGTATCTGTGTGTCTGTGTGGTGTCTCCGTGTCTCTGTGTCTGTGGTGTCTCAGGGTCTGTGGTGTCTCTTGGTCTGTGGTGTCTGTGTCTCTGTGTGTCTGCGTGCTGTCCCCGTGTCTCTGTGTCTCTGCGTGGTGTCCCTGTGTCTCTGTGTGTATGTCTCTCTGTGTGTCTCTGTGTGTATGTCTCTTTGTGTGTCTCTGTGTCTCTGCGTGGTGTCCCTGTGTCTCTGTGTGTATGTCTCTCTGTGTGTCTCTGTGTCTCTGCGTGGTGTCCCTGTGTCTCTGTGTGTATGTCTCTCTGTGTGTCTCTGTGTCTCTGCGTGGTGTCCCTGTGTCTCTCTGTGTGTCTCTGTGTGTCTCTGTGTCTCTGCGTGGTGTCCCTGTGTCTCTGTGTGTATGTCTCTCTGTGTGTCTCTGTGTCTCTGCGTGGTGTCCCTGTGTCTCTGTGTGTGTGTCTCTCTGTGTGTCTCTGTGTCTCTGCGTGGTGTCCCTGTGTCTCTGTGTGTATGTTTCTCTGTGTGTCTCTGTCTCTCTGCGTGGTGTCCCTGTGTCTCTGTGTGTATGTCTGTCTGTGTGTCTCTGTGTCTCTGCGTGCTGTCCCTGTGTCTCTGTGTGTATGTCTCTCTGTGTGTCTCTGTGTCTCTGCGTGGTGTCCCTGTGTCTCTGTGTGTATGTCTCTCTGTGTGTCCCTGTGTCTCTGTGTCTCTCTGTGTGTCTCTGTGTCTCTCTGTGGTGTCCCTGTGTCTCTGTGTGTGTGTCTCTGTGTGTATGTCTCTCTGTGTCTCTGCGTGGTGTCCCTGTGTCTCTGTGTGTATGTCTCTGTGTCTCTGCGTGGTGTCCCTGTGTCTCTGTGTGTATGTCTCTCTGTGTCTGTGTCTCTGCGTGGTGTCCCTGTGTCTCTGTGTGTATGTCTCTGTGTGTCTCTGTGTCTCTGCGTGGTGTCCCTGTGTCTCTGTGTGTATGTCTCTCTGTGTCTCTGCGAGGTGTCCCTGTGTCTCTGTGTGTATGTCTCTCTGTGTGTCTCTGTGTCTCTGCGTGGTGGCCCTGTGTCTCTGTGTGTATGTCTCTCTGTGTGTCTCTGTGTCTCTGCGTGATGTCCCTGTGTCTCTGTGTGTATGTCTCTCTGTGTCTCTGTGTGTATGTCTCTCTGTGTGTGTGTCTCTCTGTGTGTTCCTGTGTCTCTGTGTGTATGCCTCTCTGTGTCTCTCTGTGTCTCTGTGTGTATGTCTCTCTGTGTGTGTGTGTCTCTCTGTGTGTCCCTGTGTCTCTGTGTCTCTCTGTGTGTCTCTGTGTCTCTGTGGTGTCCCTGTGTCTCTGTGTGTATGTCTCTCTGTGTGTCTCTGTGTATCTGCGTGGTGTCCCTGTGTCTCTGTGTGTATGTCTCTCTGTGTCTCTCTGTGTGTGTCTGTGTCTCTCTGTGGTGTCCCTGTGTCTCTGTGTGTATGTCTCTCTGTGTCTCTGCGTGGTGTCTCTGTGTCTCTGTGTGTATGTCTCTCTGTGTGTCTGTGTGTCTCTGTGTCTCTGCGTGCTGTCCCTGTGTCTCTGTGTGTATGCCTCTCTGTGTCTCTCTGTGTATGTCTCTCTGTGTGTGTCTCTCTGTGTGTCCCTGTGTCTCTGTGGTGTCTCTGTGTCTCTGCGTGGTGTCCCTGTGTCTCTGTGTGTCTCTGTGTCTATGTGGTGTCTCTGTGTCTCTGTGTCTCTGTGTCCTTGTGTCTCTGTGTGTATGTGGTGTCTCTGTGTCTCTGTGTCTCTGCGTGGTGTCCCCGTGTCTCTGTGTCTTTCTGTGTCTCTGCGTGGTGTCCCTGTGTCTCTGTGTGTCCCTGTGTCTCTGTGTCTGCGTGGTGTCTCTGTGTCTGCGTGCTGTCCACGTGTCCACTCGTCACCTGTAACACGTGTCCAGGTGTGCCGGCTGTGGGCGGAGTGGGCGGACGCTTTACAAATCCCAGTCCGCACGCAGCCCTCCACGCTACTTTCAACCAATGGGACGCGCGTCTCCGGGTCGTCACGTGGTGCCGCGGCGTCCAATCGCTCGCCCTCGACACCCTTATGCGCACTACGGAATATAAACGAGCGAATCGTAATCGCCGGTCTAAGCGACTGCCGAGCGCTCGGGCGCCGGTTATTTATTTATTTATTTGCTGCGGGTTGAAGGCGCAGCACCTGCAAGGGCCCACCGCTGAATGGAGGAGGCGCTGTAGTTTCAAAGGCAATGCGTGGATATCGTCTACAACGCGTGTCTACTGTCTACAATGCGTGTCTACTGTCTACAATGCATGTCTGTTGCTATAAATGTCCAAATGACGGGCCACTTTTTAAATCCTTTATATTAAGTTCACTTGCTTGCGTGCTTGCGTGCTTGCTTGCTTGCGACCGTGCAAATCTTTCGGTCGTTTTTTAACCCACTTCCCGTGATCCAATCGAGCTGACATTTTGCACACAGACTCGTTGTGCGTGACAATTAATTTTCGTGAAAAAAAATTCCTAAATTTTACACTGTTTAGGGAAATTTTTTAAAATATTTAATTACCAATTGCTTAATGGTGGCAGACAATCATCTGACCCATAGGTGGCAGCCATCTCAAGGACGAGAGGACTCTAGCCGCCATGCATATAAAGGATTCCTAGTGAAAAACTTTGTTTTTACGGGTTAATTTTTTTGAGCTATCATTTGTGGTAGCCAGGCTGCTTGTGAAAAACACATTCCTGCGGAGGGAGCTGGTAGGAACGTTGGGTTGCTCGGTCAATGGCCAGGGTCAACGGCGGCGTGGTGTATTCCGCAAATATGCCCGACTGTGAGGGCGGGCACAAGCCGGCGTGAGTAGGTTAAACGTTGAGTTTTATAAGGGCACCACGGGGTGACCAGCCCTTCACCACCCCACCCAGCCCCACCCCTCCCACCCCCCACCCAGCCCCACCCTCCCCACCCAGCCCTCCCCACTCAGCTCCTCCCCACCCTCCCCACCCGGCCCCTCCCCACCCTCCCCTCTCCACCCAGCCCCACCCCTCCCATTTTTGTATGCACGACGGACGGACGGACACAATAATCCCCTGTGGGCTGGTGAAACCAGGTGGTTCCTACCAGTAATAAGTCAATATGTCGGTGGGCTTTGCTTGGTAGTGTCATGGGTTGGATTGAGGCGCACACTCAACTTGGAGGCAACACTTTATTCACACGTAACAACCAACTTGAACACAACACGTAAGGCGATGACCACCGCTCCTTGCGGTGTCAGCAGTGACGCCTGCATCGGGCTGTGCGTTTGACCATATGGGCCGTCCATAAATGATGTCACGCACCTGGGGGGGGGGGGGTCAGACATTTGTGACGATGTGTGACGAGGGGGGGGGGGTTTCAGAAATGTGACGTCACATCAAAATGCGCAATTTTAAATAAATATAGACAACACGTTCTACTTAATTAAATAGACTTTTTAATAACCACATTTTTGGTCACCATGTGCCCTTACACATCTCAACGTTCATCCTATAGTCCCATCAAAAACACATCTTGTTGCCCGTATTGAAACGGCTGTACGTCGTATGAACTTGGAAACTCAATTTGCCTGTACAAGAATACGGGGTAAACCGTTTGGGTTGAAAGTTAATAGGGCTTTGACCACGGATATTATCCATAATCCAGGGGGGGGGGGGGGGGGTTTGGGTTAGATCACGTAAATGTATAAATGTGTCGTTAAACCCGCCACCACCCAACACAGCCAATTAATAAGGTTTGTCACGTAAACAGAACATGCCAATTCGTTACTCATGTAGTGGCATAGAATAAGTAATGTAGCAGCATAGCGCTGGCTGCTGGCGGGGAAGGGGATCTGTGGCTTACAGCAGCCCTGACGTCAGTAGGCCACGTGATACACCACAGGGGATATCTGGGGGAAAGGTTACACATGGGGGAAGCCCAGGAACCCGCTGGTAGGTTCTAGAGAAGGGGCGTGACCTGGGCGGACCGAGGTCACGCTGGGAGCATAAAAGAGGGCCCTGCACGAGAGCTTGGGGCTGTCGTATGGAGTGGGATCCCCGTTGTGCCGGTAAAGATCATTCCATCGTCGCTGTCGTCTCATTAACTTCACTCGATATTGCGCTGCACAATGGAAGTTTATTTGTCTCGGTTCAGCGCCGTCAGTGTTTGACGGCTAGTGTTGTGTATAGGCGAGCAACCCACGTAAAAGTTGTGTATAAGCGGGTGACAGAAGAGGGTGCTCGTTGAATAAAATAAGTGCCTCCAACTCTCAGCGTCTCTGAATTAAGTCACTACACTCGTACAACACAGCGGTGTCTTGGAGAGCCAAGCCACAACATTTACATTTACAATCTGAGTACGACGTTTCGCCAGTAATTATAACGAGCTTCATCAGGCGACAGCCAGATTTGTGAAGTCCTCCTGTTTCGTTCCTTATATAGAGGGATTGGTGTGATGACATCACTTGTGCGTTTTTTCTAGCGCGAAGTGGGGGTGGGGGGGGATTAATGAATGCATATAAATGACTATGGGTATCCATTGCCAGTGGGTTATTTTTATGGTAATCAATGTACATTATGCATGCGCACTATGCAAGCCCATTGTTCTTGTACTTCCTGTGAATTGTTTGTACTAAAATAGCCATAGCAACGATAATCCCTGTTGAAGTATGGTGACCTTTATAGGCATGCATCTTAACAATGTATTATTTGATGATTCGCTTCAAAACAGTCTGTAGCTATCCGAACGGTTACATTTCTTTTTTATTTCTCTCAATTTCGTGAATGCCTACGTGTTCAATGATCCATAAGAGTTTTTTTTTGGGATAGATCACGTAAATATGAATGTCGTTAATCCCGCCACAACCCTACACAGCCAATTAGTAAGGTTTGTCGCGTAAACAAAACATGCCAATTCGTTACTAGTGTAATAAACCCACTCCGGACGATATCGTATTTTCGTATCTTGTCTTTATTTGTTCTTCGTTACACAGCTCTCTCACATCGCTGGGTTCCTATTTCCATTACTCCCGTTACCCGAGCGTGGCGTTCAATCGCTTCCCTCGCTCCCTCACACCGCTGGCTAACGGCGTTCGGGAGACAAGCCTCCGGCCTGCCACGTGGCCGCTGGCATGCCGGAAGCACAGACGTGGTCTCTCCTCGAACCTCTCCACCCATGATATCACCTGGCTCACGTGATGCCACGCAGCCAATCATAAGCCTCTCCCCTGGAAGCTTCTAGATGTTGCTATACAGCCCCAGGGCTACGCCCCTGGCTCGACGTCTCATTGGCTGCGGGCTGAGGCCGGCAGAGCCAATCACCATCGCCCAGTTACCCCCGGGTGCATCCTCATATTACACTAGTACAGCACAACGGAGTGTTGGAGAGTAAACCCACTATCCAACTCACCACTCAACAACAACACCCGCCATTCGCCACTAAGTGGTTTGATTCCCGGCGACTTGAATCCCTTGTGAGCCGATTCTGTCACGATTTCACGAGTTGTATTTATACTGCAGGAGGAATCCGATGAGCAATAAAGCTCTTTTTCAAAGTGTCCAGTAGGGGCACGGAGTAAGAACGTCACAACAAACACAGTTACACAAACACGATAGGTGTGCAAAGTATAGGAAGGGTAAACAGATAACTTAAAAAAATCTAAACTATTTTATATTTTCACCATTGGAACCTCATTTGCCAGTAAAAAATGATAATTGTTTTTTTACCCTTCTATCTGGCAACAAAACTGACACCTTTTTTACAAGGAGTCATGTTTGCATAGACCACAATACCTGCAGTCATAATACAAACAAAAAACATAACTCTGGTAATGTATGCACTGTCCTTGAAGTTGATTGGTCCACACCCGAGACAGCTTTCCTTAGAGCCTAGTCTCACATCTGGTCCAACCCAATCAACTTCAAGGACAGTGCATACATTATCAAAGTTATGTTATTTTTTGCATTATGACTGCAGGTATTGTGGTCTATGCAAACATGGCTCCTTGTAAAAAAGGTGTCAGTTTTGTTGCCAGATAGAAGGGTAAAAAAAAAACAATTATCATATTTTATATTTTGTACCAGAGAAGGCCCCACTGAGCTATTTGCTTATTTTCAGAAGCGACCTGGCTCTCGCAAATGATTGCCAAATCAAGTGACTTACCGCGTGTAAATGTATAGCAGCCAAATCATCTAAACGCGTGATGTTGATTGTAAATGTGGAGGGGGCCAAACCCAGAGGACTCAGAAAACATCCACGTGACCACGGGGAGAGAGACACGCAAACTCCAAATATACAGCAGCAGGCGTCAGGGTCGGGATGGAACCCACGACCTCCTGTATACCAGGTGAGGTAGTTAACATCTCCTAGCCACCGTGATGATGATGAGAGACACGCAAACTCTAAATATACAGCAGCAGGCATCAGGGTCGGGATCGAACCCACGACCTCCTGTAGACCAGGCGAGGTAGTTAACATCTCCTAGCCACCGTGATGATGATGAGAGAGACACGCAAACTCCAAATATACAGCAGCAGGCATCAGGGTCGGGATCGAACCCACGACCTCCTGTATACCAGGCGAGGTAGTCAACATCTCCTAGCCACCGTGAACATCACGCCACTAACAAACTCAACACGTTTGTCATTAACTTTGCATTAACACTGTTGTGTACATCACGCATTAACAGTGTTGTGTACAACACACATTAACACCGTTGTGTACAACACACATTAACACTGTTGTGTACAAAACACATTAACACCGTTGTGTACAATACACATTAACACTATTTAACATGAACACTTTAACAAACATTAACACTGTGCGTACAACACACATTAACACTGTGCGTACCACACACATTAACACTGTTTAACACACATAAACACTGTTTAACACACATTAACACTGTGCGTACCACACACATTAACACTGTTTAACACACATAAACACTGTTTAACACACATTAACACTGTGCGTACCACACACATAAACACTGTTTAACACACATAAACACTGTTTAACACACATTAACAC